TCATAACTGCCAAGATGATTCATTTGTTCTGTCAATAAATGTTCTGTAATGTTCCAACACTTTTATTTAATTTGAGTAGTACACAGGGATATTTGACTCACATTGGATGGTTACTTTGTCATTATCATGTCATCATTCAAATCCATTTTTTGTCATCATTCAAATCCATTTTATGGATTATTTTGTGTGACGTTAGTGGAGGAGTGAAGCTCATAAAAAATCTGTCAGGTTTTATATTTCAACCCAAAATCAAAAGAAAGTTTGGATGAAAATAAAAATTATTTTTATTGTAGGCTAGTGTTGTAATGTGACAAACAATGTTTAACCCTTAAATGTTTCACCAGTCATTACATATTTAGATCTTTAGCGACCTGGATCTAGATCTATCACGGATGAATCTCTAACCCCCAAAATTGCAATCAATATCAAAATCAATATTTTGAGCTGACAGCTTCTTCAAAGGGCAGTGCCACTAATATTTGATTTCGTACAGTTTGCTCTGATGACACTTGTGTAGGCTAGTCTTTGTTTTTATGACTGGGATTTCCCGTGGTAATTATGAGTGAAACATCACGACATCATTGTGTAGCCTACCATTGTCATATTGAGGAAGAAATGTGAATTTCACTTAATGAGTCATCAGAGATTCAATTATTGTTGTGCAGAAAAAATATACTTATACTTTTACATACCTTAGGTCACTATTGAGAAATAAATGGGGGGTATATTTGGTGTGAAATATGAGCCGGATGTGTTATTGAGTGATTCATCCAGAGAGATATATGGCAGTTGGAGGTTGACTTTAGATAGTGTGCCACAGGCACTGTTTAATAATCTGCTGAAAGTGTAGAGGTGGGGCTGAAACTGGCTTTGCTGCGGCATGTTTAAGTTAAACCTATATGTCAGCGTTTGTTGTTGCTGAATCCATGACATCCAGAATGAGAAATACGTTATAGATTAACTCGGATGCATCCAACGCCATAAAAACCTAAATTGTTTTCACTTTATGCAAGTCTATTTTGTATAGGCTATGCGTTGACATTTAACTGCTTAAAACACGGGTGGCACTGTTGCCTTATGGAAAAGTGAATTGGTTCAGAATACCCTGTCAGTGCTTATAGATATTGATTATCTCTCTGTAAATTATCTCTTATTTACGTCAACAACAAAAAAGTATGACTAAATCGTCCCGGCTACATTATGGTCTTATCTCTGTTCAATGCTGTCTTGAAGTACTTAAAAGTTCGTTAGTTTTAAATCGATTTTTTTTTATTCATTTTTAATTGGTCTATCCAAAAGTTTTGAATGTTGTCACGCCTACATTTGACATCGTGCATGTCTCATTCACTGTTCACTCAGGACAGCAGTTACCGGGTTACAGTGACCTCTGCTGGTCACACTTATAATTGCATCCAGAATTAGAAAGAGCTTTATGGGCTCTATGCACGGCGGTATTTCCGGTGAAGCATTAGGGATGCTCGATAACTTCCGCCGATCGTAGAGTCCAATGCAATGCCGAGAATTTATATTGAATTTTATACTCCATGGTTATACTAAAGAAACGTTAGTCACAAAAACAGATAAAAGAGACACGTTGTGTTTATGCTTCTTTTTAAAATTGTATTAAATAAATATAACTATATATAAAATTACATCTAAACGTATGTACGTTTCATTTCAAAGACTGGAGGACAGTAAATTTTGAAGACTCTGCCATAATCCCGTTTTCCTCGGTTTTCCTCCGCTTTAATCTCCACAACCGGAAATGGACGAGCATCCTTGCGTCAAATGCGGAATTTATGCGTGCATATAGCCCATTGCTAAGTGTGCTTGTACACAGACGGATTTTACCTTTGTGTGGAAACTTCCAGTACACACATTTAAGGGCATTTAAACTGTTCAGGAGGGAAATAGGGAAGAAACTGTTCCTGTGCTCAGATGTTCTAGTGCCTGTAATCTGAGGCGCCGTCCGGACGGCTGTTCAACTGTTGTGAGTGACTGAGGGGAATGGAGTCCGTACTGTCTGTCTGTTGTAGTCTCCTGATGTCTGATTCGGTGGTTAAACCAAACCGCACAGTTATAGACGAATCCGACGAGCGTTCTGTGTAGGCTGCCATCTTGTGGCGACGCCATTACTGAGCTGTTACACAGGCATATAGACATATGCACCGGTATGTAAACAAACCTCGGTGATAACGCGAACTCACCCTCGATGACAGCTACAGCCAGGCAGAATGACTTGTTGGTTTGATCTGTGACTGCAGTGGCCTCCAGTCACAGATGAAGGTACAAACGATCTTACAGATTAACGTTATTTATGAAAATAGCTTGGCAAGCTAGCTAGGCTAACGTTTGCTAACGAGGAAACTATAAAAAGATCTGTCCATTTGGCAACAATAAATAAATAAATGAATGAAATCAAATAAACAAATTCATGTTTTTCATTTGTGTCCATTATTTATCTCATTTTCACATTGCAACAGGCAAGGGTAAGGTAACGTTACAGCTAGAAAGTATACATAATATCGACCAATTAGTGTTTTTAAACCATGGAAAGAGGTAAATATAACAGCGGGAGAACAATTATGTCACATAACGTTACATTTAGCTCAGGAAAGCCATTTAATGACAATAGCATGTTAATTTAATAGAAAAAATAGCAAGAGAGGAGATTTTGCTGATCAATATCACATATTTATTATATTTTTTTTTACTTATGTCATTAAATAATTGTTATTATACGCGAATGTCCACGTCTTGTACTCGCCCAGGAAATCTGTAAACCGTACGGCACCAGACAGGGGCAGTCGACCCGGGGTATTCACAGTGTTTTCTCTTCAAAATTGAAATTTTACTGCCACCATTGAAACAATTTATAACGAAAACTGTTTACCCACTCGACATTATACAAGGGATAACGTTGTAACGTTAGTGACAGTCGTAAATCGCGGGCTGTTTATTCCAGTGGACGCAAGTTGCAACTAAAACAATAGGAGGCAATGGCGCAACGCTACCCAGCAACAGCTCAGTAATGGCGCCCCGCTTACTTCCGGTAGTTTCGCCGGATTCGTCTATAGGTGAACACAGGACAGACTCAATGAGTGGAGCATGAGTCAGCAGATTCTGCGGCAGGTTGAACATCCTCTATCGTTTGGTGTCATTGAGATTTTTCCACCGAACTTTCTTTCAGCAAAGATGCGTTTTTATCAAATAAATGCATAAAAATATCTTACCGACCACAAACTTTTGAATGTAGTGTGCTAAAATATTTTTAACAATAGAGTAGGCCATTAACCTACATTAATAAACGCAGTTCATTGTTTGTTAATAATGCATTAAAGGGATAGTTCACTTTGAAATTCATTTTTGCTATGTTTTAGCTTACCTCAAGGGCATCCAAGATGTAGGTGTCTTTGTTTCCACAGTAGTCTCAATTTTGATATTTTTAGGTCAAACAGTTCTTGTCTGTCAGTCATATAATATGGAGATCTATGGGGTCCACCTCAAAGAGCATGCACAGAGAAGTCCAAATTAAACATGATTTAATGACTCGTAAATGTACGATATAAATACTGTTCGTTTCTGCTCACACAAACCGCTCGTTTCGTGTCTTAGGCCATCAATGTGTACTTACATTTACAAGTCATTAAATCATGTTTAATTTGGACTTCTCTGTGCATGCTCTTTGAGGTGGACCCAAGGTGGACCCCATAAACAAGAATATATCAAAATTGAAAATACTGTGGAAACAAAGACACCTACATCTTGCATGCCCTTGAGGTAAACTAAAACATATCAAAAATTAATTTCAAAGTGAACTATCCCTTTAACGAATGTCAACGTGTGGGACCATCATTTCAAGAATGTCCATAAAGAGCAAATAGGATATGACATTTAAGACTCAATGGCCTACATATTTCCCTGAAATTACCAGCGGATAAGGATAATTTTCCCAGAGCTCATCTGAAGCTGTCGATGGCTTAGTTTCCTGCAGAAAGGCACAGTTGTAAAGCAGGATTAGGTAGGATTGTAGCATATGTGCACACCAGCAGTTCTCAAACTACAGCTTTCTACATTTCCAATGGGGTGTATTCTAAAGGTTCTTCATCTAATGGTGGATTACAGGAAACCATCGATTTATCTGAAGAATAACACCTGACGGACCTGCTGATGATGAGTGACAGCTTTGTAGCTCCTGATGACCTTTAAGGCCCCAAAAGGAATACAGGAAGAAAATATTGGCTTGATTAGTTTTCACTCCAATTGTTTTGTAACATGAAATCAGTTTAATGTCTCCCAGACCAAAGATGACTCACCAATAGACACACAAAATGCGTTTAACTTCTCAACCAAGGCCAGGTTCGTCATCGCACAAACAATGTTAAGTGTCTGAAGTGCATCCGGTCGCAGGGGTCCCGAATCAGTCTATTGATCCCATTTGGCATGTTGAGTCATGTCTCTCATTTGGGCTTAGACTTTGGATTCATCTTTAAAACAGATGTAACGTTTATCAATTGAAGATACAGTATATGCACATTATTCTCTTATTACTTATGCTTTCATGGCTGGTTCTGAATCAAAGTTATATGTTTAACTGCCCTTTCAGCATAGTGGTGACCTTTCTTAAATGTCAGCAGTGATACCAGCGCCAACCTTTTGTTTATATCTGAATGCTTCAGCATCAAGAGAGGCATGCTAATAAAGCTTTGCATTTTAAAAACAAATTGTCTCCACAATAAAATGCCTCATCATTTTAAGTTGTTCACGTGTCATCATTAACTAACTAATACTATTAAAATAAAACTAAGCATTGTTTTTGGTAATCGAAATAAAGATGATATATATATATATATATATATATATATATATGGGCGGGAGGGGAGGGGAGGGGAGGGGGTAATAGGTTGCCAGGTTGAGATGACAAACGGGTTGAAACTGTGTATGGTGTGTGGATTGTGTGAATGTAATGCATTTCATACAAGATCTGGCAACTAGTCAACATTAGACAGAGTTTGGGCCATGCAAATGACGGGAGTTTCCTGGGAGAAATAACAAACCGGGAAACGTCCGGGAGATAAAAAATCGGCAGCAACAACCGGGGAAAACCGGGAGTGTTGACAGGTATGCTTTAAAGATCAATTGAGCTATCACTTATTCGCTGTAAAATGTCTGAAGTAGTCATTGAACATTTTGGAACAACAAAACAACATGACCTATGACGACATACATATTAGATAGTGAGAGTGAGAGACATGGATGAGAACTCTCTCTCTCTCTCTCTCTCTCTCTCTCTCTCTCTCTCTCTCTCTCTCTCTCTCTTCAGATGCTGTTTACAAATGGATGCTGGTGAATGGTGAGTGGGTGGAAAGTGTTGGTTGTCTTGTCTGAGACTGTTCAGTGTGGTACAGTGTTTTATGGGAACTCCACGATGACTTCATTGATTGCAGCTTCACTAGTGTTGAAAAACACATACTGGTGTTTTAAATATATATTTGTTGCTGTTTTTTTTATTGCTGAATGCAGTTGTTGAGTTTAATGTTAATTCCAGCTCTATGTCCATATGAACTAATTATTATGGGTCACATTATGCATTAATATGAAATACACACATTTACTGCATACTTATCCATATTTTGGCGACACATTTGTTCCAGAAGTGAGCCAAACCACAAAACTTGGGGACATCCTCATTTATTAAAATGGCACATATTCACACACAAAAAATTCTGGTAGGGTTAGGTTATGGTATTTAAAACTGCATATAAAAACTATAGACATCCATGCAGTGTCCCCATTTTTAAATGTTTGTGTGTGTGTGTTTGTGGTTCAGGTAAACTCTACTTTAATGGGATTAGATTTGTTGGCCCCCATGAGGTAATCCGGCTTCTATATCAAATTATGTTGTTTTTTTTTTTTTGGGGGGGGGGGGGTTAAATTCAGAAAGTGTTCTGTTAGGGGGTAGGAGAAAGCATACAGTTTTTACAGTTTAAAAATCCTTATGTCCCCATAAAACATTGAAACCCAACATGTGTGTGTCTAACTGCTTTAACACAGCTCCAGATGGAGAGACTGTTAGAAATCAAGCCTCCCCTGCTGCTCATCTTGGAGCTCTGGCTTCCATCCCGTGGTTGTCACACCGCAGAGAGGAGCATCTCCAGGGCTGGCGTATAGGCTCTGCACACTGTGACCCAGATACACAGCAGCGCACCCAGAACACAACCTGTCTCTCTGACTTCCCATTCCTCCCTTCCCCTCAGACACGAAGCCTGCTGTGATCCCTGAACAGTGAACACCCACTGGCCTTGGAGATGGTTGTTAAGATGAACATAATTTACCGCATCACTGCGTCAGAAGGTAATCAAGGTTTTTGAACCACCTTTCATGTTAAACACACTAGTGCAACGGTTGACGTTAACCAGCAAATTACAAATAATTATTTGTATCTCAGATGAAATGGCTTAAAAATCGTCATGATGAGAGTGAGTTTTAGAATAGGCTACATGCATTTCATTTGATTTGCATTATCTCAGTTTGCTCTTTTGCAGTATTAAAGGGATACTTCACCTCTGGAAAGATGAATTTGTATTTAAAATGGGTCATTAATGTAGAAGAAATGTGAAATTCGTTTTGAATTTGGAGCTTTCTAGTCTGAGAAAAGCCAGAAAATGTATTTTTGGCTTATGTGGATGAAAAACAACAACTCCCAGAATGCACTTGCTTCGCTGCCCTAGGCTAGGCTACTAGTGAGTCTCCGTGATGAGTCTGCCGAAAATGTGTTTCGAGATCGCCCAAAATGTTCGGGATTCGGCTTTTGCGTTCTACAGTCGCCATTCATTATGTTTACTGTGGCGAGCGGGACGAGTGAGGGCCGCGGGAGAACGGCGTGAGGTCGGTGGCGTGATTACCGATGAGCGACACCTGTGAGACGCACCGGAGACGCACCGTTCACACGACCATTCAATAGTATGACTGTCTAACAATGGAAAGCTTAATGCAAATGGGTGGAGTGTCCCTTTAAAGAAGACCACAAAGGCTGCAACATTTAAAGTAGCTCAACAACCCATATATATATATATATATATATATATATATAATTTATATATTTTTATGTGGTTGTTTAAATCTATTATTTTAAGTGAATTATTTTAAAGTGAAAGTGCTTGTTCAGTTGACTCAATTAAAATGAGCTAAAGCAACATAACAGCTGAACATTTTGTCACAACTTAATTTTGTTGTGTTCAGATGTCTAAAATTAAGATGAATGTACTTATTTACTAAGTTAAATGTTTCTTAACTTAGTGAACTTTTAAAATGTGCTTTCATTTGCCTTATTGTATTTGTGTATTCCGATGTGGTCCAATTCCCGCACGAATGACTCTTATTAACTGATTCTTTATAATGAATCATCGACTTTGGCGTGGTTACTGAATTAATCTAAACTTAGTATCCTACTGTTCAAGTTAGTTTGTGTCCGAATCTGAACGAACCAAGCTCTGTTATTGTCATGAGATTTAGGCTACAGTAAATAAGTGCAGTTACTGACATATTATTATGAAAACACATAAGTGTAGGCTATATTTTATAAAATGAATAAATAATAGGCTGCGTCACTGCATTTATGTAGGAACAGATAATTTTGCATTTATATGAAAACACACAATTTTAAAACTAGATTTATTTCTGATTGGCTACATATCTTTTGAGAAACCTGACGCGTTATTCTTTTTCTTTTTTTTTTTTTTTTTTTTTGATAACCAAAACCCTTTTATTAGAGGTGATGGGTAAAGTGGCCTAATTGCCGAATTGTTTAATAAAAGATTCGTTAAAACGAACGGTTCAAAAGAACCGACTCTCTGAATGACTCGGATTCCGCGGGGCTGTGCGCGCTGACAGTGCTGCGTTCGCTCGAGCGCATCAGCGGCGCAGCATCATTACAACGCACCACCTTGAGGAGACGCAACACAAAATGGCTTTGCAAATTTAACGCTCGACTGAGAAGAAACTCTCAACGCCCCATCAGGAATATAGGACTCTCGTTGTTTTTCTGAAATAACAAAGACCATACACAAGAAACAAGCCTGGAAATCAACGGCGGACGGTGGGGGGAATTTGGGGACAGTCATGGCGGGGGTGGGAGCCAGGGGGCGAAAGACGGGACTCCCCGGGTTCTGTTGGAAAACATGCTATTTCCACATTCTCTTTTGGGTCGTGTCTGTTTGTGGAGAAGAGAGGACCTTCATCGTTGAGGTAGGCTACGTGGAAAGAGACGATGTCCACCATCCTCACCTCCACTGGCTGCGCGTGAAAGAACCTGTTCCATTGAGCAACACGGACAGCGTTTGGGTAGCTGATGGCCACTAGAACGAAGTATATAGGCTATTCAAACGGGTTTATTAGCAGAAGTGGATCAAGCATATATTATAAATGAACGATATAGGCGATGCCTAAATACATAAAACGATCAAAAATGAATTGTTTTGGTTGTTAATTTCACTAACAACCAAATCAATTCATTTTTGATCGTTTTAAACAATTAATAGCTAATAAACACCATTAATACAAGTACTTGATATTTTAAAATTCGTAGGGTACGTATATCCGAAAATTGTAAACAAGCATTACAGGTAAAACAATAACAATGCACCCAAACATCAATATAGCATATTCTAAAACAGAATTATATTATATTAATATGTTTGTATTATTCATTATGATTTGTTATTTGTAAGGCATTGAATGTAGTGCAAAAATGCAACAATAACAATGCAACCAAATACACATGTGAATGAAATCTCATTATTTCTCTATGCTACGCTTTGCCTTATATTCGGCCCCAGACAGACATTAAGTGTTTTATGTTAGCTCTTCCTGGAAATACAGCACACTGAAACCATTATCAGGTTGCCAGTAATTGGATAATTTCATTGCGCCACTCACTCCACTTGCATTCCCTTATTATACCCTATATATCTTTGTTGGGAGCATCAAGCCTTTATGCTCAGAGCAATGTTAGAAATAAGAGATTGAATGACACAACTGGTCCTGTTCAAGATACAAGCATCTTTTTGAGCAAAGATAGGAGAAAGAGCTTCAGTTAAGATGGAGATTAGCTAGCATGAAAATTTTCCTTAAGGACCCAAGAACCGTTTTGAATGATAGAGGTTGCATTTATAGCCACGTAATGCTTTTGTTTTGATGTGCAGCTGCTGTTTCTGTGCGTGTTCCAAATATAGGTTCCTCAATAATTGATGGGAAAGGCATGGGATGCTTTTGAGTAGAGAGCCAGAGCTCACCTAGAGCATTCTCCTGGATTCAGCTTTGTTGTGGCAATAGGTTACTTGGTGAATAGAGCTTTTACCATTTACTCTGTTATGTCACAAAAGATAAAGCATTTCTTTATGGCATAAATTGCTTGCTAAAAGGTATTTCTATTATGCAAATACATGGGTTATATAAGGTGCACAAATGCTGTGAAACTTGCTATTTTTGTTAATAATTCTGTCCTAAACATACTCAAATTTTTTAAAAATGGCAATATTATAGATTCTTTGATATTTCGAGAGTTGGTTGTTTCTGCCCATTTTCTGTTTCCATGCCAGGAGCGTTTTAACCCTCCGTTTCTTTGTTGCATTCATGAGAGTGACTTGTAGCAAGTGCTTCAGCATGATTGCACATAATAGCTACATGCACTGATTCTTATGGCCACAATTTAGTTTGATTCATTGATTCATTACTTACGAAACAGCGTGATCAAATTTCGACTGTACACAATTATATCAGTATACATGTTATTTAGCTTCATGATCTAATTTTTAAATTGCAATTCATAACATTTGTTGTAGTCCCTAACTTGCATAAACTGATATTCACAGGTGTTTACATGATTTGTTTTCAATTAAAAACGAAACATTTTTATACAGTGTATGTTTTAGCCGGTGACAAAGCGTTTCGGGGGCCTGAATACGCACACGTTTGAAAATGGGTTTTAAAGTGCAAGTTTTTGAAAACGAAACCATTATCATCGTCATGTAAACTATTTAAACACAAATTTGTGAAACTGTGCATATTACATGTATAGGCGTCGCCAACTACTGGCCAGGCAGCAGAATACAACATTTTTTTAGTCATTTTTGCAGATCCATGTGTACGGGATCATTTTGACGAACTTTGTTGTCCGTACGCAACAATGTTCAAAAATGCAAAGGATAAACATTTCCATTTTTAGTACTTCGCAGTGTAAACGTACCCCTTGAAAAGGTTCCTGTTAGATAGCGAAAATAGAGGGAAAATAGGTTCCGATGTCAGTATCCCATCAAAACGAAATAATCTGATCATGACGAGCCAGTTAACTGCTCATTCAGATATTAATCTTTTAAGACTAGACTATGATATCAGATTAGACCATATTATATAGATTATATCTTCCTATCTCAACAGGCCACATTCGGCTTCACTAAACAGCTTCAGTCATCAGAGAAGCAGTGATTTGGATGTATTTGCTGTAGTTGTGCTGAAGAAATACCAGCAGTAAAGATGCTTTTTGTAGAACCACGAGTTCTAGCCAACCATGAAGGAAGTGTCTGTTCCTTTATTAAGGTGCATTGTGCAACATTTCATGTTAAAAATAAAACATTTTCTACCCCATACATGCTTAAACAATTTCCTGATGGGCTGAATGAGCCCTTCTCTGATCACTGCGATTACCTCTATAATCCTGTACAGTAAAATAAATAAAAGGGATTCGGGACTGAGTTTGAGACTGGGCATGTGCGTTCACGCTCGCCTGGCTATGTCTGGCAGGTTTGTGTATTCGCCGCCATTCTCCGTGTCAGCGAAGACAACTCGAGCGACAAAACTTTAGTCAACTTTCGACAAAAGTAAATGATGGATTCAAAGAGACCGGCTTGTAGTTCATTCCAAACCCCAACGCAAACTCCATGTAAGACAAAGAAAATCAAACTTTTGTCTAGTCCCAGGCGTCGGAATAAGACGAGAGTCAACATCGGGAAGGCTTTCAACAAACGGAGAGATCTCCGGTCTGCTCTAGGGATCAAATGGGATCCTATACAAAGAAATAACTTGCATTGTTCATGAACATGTTTCCATAATAATAGTGGATAGAGTAAACCCATAAAACAGTTCAACATGGAGATAGATGGAAACAAAAACCGAAGTTTTCTATTACCCCTGTTTTCCCCTCACACATACAGTAAGTGTGTAATTTACTCAAATGCATTTCCTTTCATATCGTCGCTGTCCGATGAAAACCGCGAATGTCCATTTTGCCGATTTTGAGATTTTTTGACGGATAGAATGTCCAGGTTCATTTCCGTATACAGCATGCTTCACATTATCTAAATGACCAATGAAAAGTTGTGAAATCATGTCATCTGATTTCCACGTATTTCCATTTGCTGTCAAAGCTGTCAATCACGCAGCGTATCTCCCATAGACAGTATGGTATCTCCCTGCCCTGTGGAGGCATCTCGCCGGTCTCGTGAAGTTTCTCGCCGGTCTCGTCTCTGAGACCCCTACACCTGGTATTAAAATGCGATCTGTATCCAGATAAATGATCCGGATAATAAAAAAGGCATGTTAATGCAAGGTATAAATACGTTGTGATCGGATCTGCCTGACCATCTGGAGGTAGTCTGGCTCGCATTGTGTTCGGATCTTTACTAGGTGTAAACGCAATCTGGTTGTTGAAACCACATATGTAGGCCTATATTTTACTCCTCCCAAAAATGCTACAAAAAAATAAACGAGTGAGAGCGTGTTATAGGCTATATGACACGTTATAGTCAGATGACGGCGCTACTGCGACACGCATCACCGCAGATGAGCAGCTGAGTGTCAAAACTGAAAGTAAGTCACAGACGCAATAATCCTCACAATCACACAATCATCTCACACACACAATCATCTTCAAGTAGCCTAAAGAAAGTGATCTTATACCAGGGCAGGCTGTTGCCGAGCTCTTATTGATGTAGCCTATGTCTTTGATTTTGAAATTAGCTGATGATAAAAAGCAGCTCATCTGTAATAAAATGGATCTCATATCCGACAAAATTACGGTAGGATTGTGTAAATAAAGTGTCTAGCATCGCCATGTCAGTGTATGATTCATCGTCTCTTCATAGTTTGCAAGAGACATTTAATAAACTGAGCGTAGCCTCATCTGTCAATATGAAACGCGATTTGGTAATTCTAATTAATGATCGGAAGAACGCGTATCGACCACCGTTACTATACAATATGCACGTATGTCCATTTAAACTCGATTTTGGGTCAAATATGGATTATATCATGACACTGGCAAGAATATGGTTACATTTAAAGATGTTGTGCCAAGCATGACAACGCTGCGTTCAGCTGCTTTTGAAATTAGATGTTTTTTTCACTTCCTGAAAAGTAACCGTTTTGGACATACGTGAGTTTCATCGGGCAGCGACAATATATTTAAAATGACTTGCAGATTTATACCTTTATTACCTCTGAAGACTGTAAACAAAAGATTTGTGCGACTGATGCTCCTTTGGTTATGAACAGCTCCTTTTGGCGTGCGTGTGTGTCCATGAGCGGGCACACCTCTGGTTGCAGTTTCGCTTGTCGCCTGAGGGGGCGTAGTGCTGCAAAAACTCAGAGACTTGCGCAATGCACCTTTAATGACAAAGAGCCGGGTGGAGCTGCTAATGAGAAAAACGATAATGGTGATGGCAGTTGGTTGGTAAAGATGAAACTCTGCTCTCTGCGAGCTTAGTCTAATAGTCTTAAACTGTGTTTACTCCTGGTATTAAGGTCGATCGGTTCACAAGAGGACAGTGTAGTGCAAACAGGGTCAAAAACGTTTTGAGTTTGTCCACTTCAGTCCACTTCCATAGGTAATCGAAAGCGCATTTGACCAGATTGCTTTCGTCGGGTAAACATTCATGTGGTCGAATGTGTTCAAACAGCCACAAAAGACTCCACTCTCCTCCTACTGACCTAATGCTTAAACGTTATGGGAAGCCAGACGGGATTTAAACTTTGTCGGCTGAAGACCAAAGTATAGTTTGAAGATGAAATCCGTACCAAGCACAATGTTCTCTCACCATTCCTGATTTCTGACTCATACTCACAGCGTTCGTCTGGTCTCGCGGTTGTCTATATGTAAATTGTGCAAACTTACTTCGTCAATTATATCGAAAGATCTCAAAGAAAAAAAGCCCATACATTTACCACCCATAGACCCTCTGTTGGACTAAAGA